AACGAGCCCACTTTCGGCTCAGGCATTATGTCCACTCTTGATCAAGTGCACAGAACCCACCTGCAACTTACCTCGGCGAGTCTGTATTGGTCAAGCAGAGGTCAAAGCCCCCTAATACTGCCAGGTAGAGTCCTGCCGTACTCCCTACACTTGAGCAACAGCTGGACACGTCCCGTAAAGCAACGATGCAGCAGCATGCCCCAACCCGCATAGATGCCAGGTTCACTGCAATCTTGTGCCATTACCGGCGGTTGAATTAAATTTATTGGTCTTGAGCACTGGGTAGGAATCGCATTACGAACACGGGGAAACGTCGAGGTTAGGTTACTTTGTCTAAGTTGCAGCAGAAGTCAGCTTGGAACAAAACACGGATGACATCATTGTCGCATGTTCCACATTGGCTGGTTGGTGGCCCGGTGGTAACAACTGCAAATTATCACCACCGAGGAGGTTATATCTCACAACCGACGGCTAAATTTCCCCAATTCTCGGTGTGTTGTATGGCCGCATTTGGATTGACCATATCCCCCTTACTGAAAATTGTTTCTTTGTATATACTTTGGGAAGAAGCAAGAAGGAAACAGAAAAAAAGAGGTTAAAGGTTTTGCACAATGATTTACGTACATGATGCCTTATTGTGGTGATTCTCACTTACGAGATAACGTCAGTCACAAAACGTAGCGTTACTTTTTTTGGACAACTTTGCTGAGTCGACCCTTCCACATGACACCAACCAAGCACCTACGCATTACACGTTTTGGACCACGAACCACGAGGCTGATTGTGACGACCGGATATATACATATGTATATGATGATGATGATGATTACCAATCTATATGTAGTGATCAGCAGACGGGGCGAGTCACCATAGTCACGGAGACCTGCTAATCAGTGATGGTAACCGAAATCACAAGCACCGGGACTTGGTGGTGTGGCGAACCACATGATACCCTGGTAGCTCAGGCGTGGCATTGAATAGAACGACAGCAAAGCTGCCTACCATTAAAGTTGTGTGGTGGTGGTGGTGGCGAGGCTCGAACGATGGATCACAGGGCGCAAAGCATGCCGATGACAGCAACCAAACAACTGAGCCACCATCACCCAATATATATCGAGAGAGAAAGAGAGATAGGAAAATCATAATCCGTTCACCAGAAACGATGCAGATTGTACAGGACTCGAACATTCCAGATCCATCCTAAAACAGGCTTTTTCATCCTCGGTACGGGAACTTCAGTATTACTAGAATATATAATATACTATGTCGAAATTCTGAAACATTTACGACATTCAATACTAATCTCAGACAGTGCGAATAAAGCTTATTCGAACATATCAACCATAGCTGGAACTGAAATGGATCGCCAGAGACCCTGTCGTATACGTAGTCATTGTTCACACATACATACCTTTGATTGGAAACCGTAGATGATGTTACTCGGATTCCGTTGAGTATCGGAAACAACGTGTATTTTTTTTTGTTTTAAATTCAACCTGATATTTTCACAATTCTTGTATGGTCTTGTGCAGTCCCAAAAATATGCAAACATACATACATACACACACAGAGACAGACACACACCTAGTCAAGTGTTTCTCCACATTCCATGTGATGTGGAAACTTTGAGAAAATAAAGAATAAAGCTCAGAAAATGTCTGATATCTGATTTGTTTCATCTTTCTGTCTGTTTATTATCTCTGACCGTGTTTTTCTTTTGTTACTCTGTAATTGCTCTACAAAACCTGAAATAAATACAAGTAGAAAATAGAAAAAAAAGTGGGGAAGTGAGACAAGTGTGTATAGACAACAGTCAAACAGATGAATAGAGCTGTTTGACTGAGTGGCAACCGTTGACCCCTTCTTGATTCGTCCGCACCCCCACTGAAAGGAGGTGAGAAGATGAGGGTGGCAGGGGTTCCGTGAACTTGCAGTTGATTTCTAGTGTGAGTTTCATACACATATGCACAGACTGAACGGGGAAGAAACAGAATTGATGGAGTTTTTGGTCGGTTAATATGAAATAACTCTGATCACAAATACAAGCCCCGTCTCTGGGACGTGGAAGCGATTCGTTGGACATGAGATTTCAGATGCACATCTTTCCGTTCAAACAAAGATTAGGATGAGTTGTGTGGATTGTATCTCGGGCATACCTTGGACGCTGGGACGCTGGGGTGTGAGTGGAACGGGTGGAGGGGTTGGATGGAACGAATGGCACTGAACTGTGCTTTGTATTTCCCACATTGCTCTCACTCGCTCGCACGGGCTTCTTGCGCACGAGTTGAATCAATGTGATGCATTGAATAGAATGAGGTTTTGGAAAGACGTGCGCGATCGAAACCGGATCGACTGATTATGCTACGAGTCAAATTGGTCTCCTGTTCACGTTCGATCGAGCTCCGCCGTTCGTGCTCGAGCTCAGCGGTGAATGATTGGATTGCAAATCCAAATCACGCGCTTGTTGGGGTAAACTAGTGTCCGAAGTTGCGGAAGATACCTCGGATTCCCGCGAACAGACATCGGTTTGAGACATATTTAACAAATCGTCAGCGGATACATTGAAATGTGGTTCATGAGTGATGGATAGAGGCACTACTAGTTCTGTGACCGACGGGCGATGTAAATCAGTCTCGTCTGGACTGTCTTCTTTCTCGGCCAGTGCGTAAAATTTTGGTGCACACGGGACCGATTCGTCTGTTCTCACATCCATTTCTTCCTTGATAGTCTCAATGTTGGCATCCTCCTCGGGTAAGCTCAGATGTCGTAAACTGACATTGAATTGTTCCCGATAGACAGTTTTGCTGGTCTTTCGGTGACAACTGGTCCCTGACGCAGTTTCATTGGTGGGATAACGTTCCGAACTAGATTGTTTCTCCGTCTGCGATGTCCATTCACCACCGGTAGAACTGAATCGATGCGCTTCATGAGAGGTGTGCAAATTGATTAGAATATTCAATTTGGTCTCTATTCCAGTGATCTGAAACAGGCGGGCAAAACAGAAAAGTGTGTGTGTGTGTGCGTGTGTGTGTGTGTGTGTGGATTAGGTGATTCGTATTNTAATTTTAACAGTATAATCATAGGGGCATAGTATTGATCTGTTTAGCTCAGGTGGCTGGTGACCGAGAAAAAGTAGACTAGATGGAATAGCATTGTGGGACAGAAAAAATAAAAATGGCGAAATCAAACATTTTAAATGAAATTCAAACGAGCGGAACTTGTGGTATACTTGTCAGAATGAGTCAAAATATATTCACCTACTTGGATCGATTAGCTCCAGGTGAATTTGAATTACTTTCTCATTCAATCATGAAGCTGATGAACTCTAATAAGAGCGAAAAGCGAGTCCAGTGCTTCCGAGTGTATGGATGAATCAATGAGCTGAGGATTGTGCGTGGAGTTGAATTCCGAAGGATAGTCAGTTCAAATCAATCAATATCAATTATTCCACAACACTACTCATAGGTAACTGTGAGTTAAATGCAAACTGATAGTTACTTGCTATGGCGAAATAAATGAACATCAAACCATTTATTTAAATTTCGGTAAAACCCTAAATTAGCAGTCTATGCACGATGGATATAGTTCTTTGATTTGACGCGATCGTATTGAATTATTCACGCACAACTGTGTAGTGCAACCACTGCGAGAACTCAATGTGTTATAAATTCACAAGACAATGTACGGACAAGGAGAGTTATTGATTAAAATAATGTGAAGAATATCGGGAATTTGGCATACGTACAACAAAACATGACTCATTTGGAACAAGTCTTCAGAATTCCCTCAATTATTGAAGATATTCACTGATGCTCATTTTCTGTAGGTACGAAATCCGTGGGAATCCCATCAGCATTGCATGGGGCGCGTGCAAGCTACTCACAAGTGTGAGTAGTACACTGCAACAAACGTAGATCGAAGTTAAATGTTACGTGTTGAGAGAATGCCATGTCATTTTGATTTAGCACAGTCAAAATTACTCATTTCTCTCTTTTCACTCCATCCGTTTCTCCATGATGCTCGATCAGTTACCGGTGACCTCATGGAAAACTTATATTATTTTAGCGAATCTTTCCACCATTTGTTTTTCGACTAAAGTCGCAGGTTTCTCGCATTTTCTAACGACTCAGTCTATCTATCTATCTATCTATCTATCTATCTATCTATCTATCTATCTATCTATCTATCTTTCTATCTATCTATCTATCTATCTATCTATCTATCTATCTATCTATCTATCTATCTATCTAGTATCTATCTATCTATCTATCTATCTATCTATCTATCTATCTATCTATCTATCTATCTATATAGCGATCTGTCGGTGTCTATCTATCTATCTATCTATCTATCTATCTATCTATCTATCTACGTATCTATCAATCTATCGACTTATATTTCTATCTATCATTCTATCTATCTCTCATTGGATCCGTGTCTATTTATCTATCTATCTATCTATCTATCTATCTATCTATCTATCTATCTATCTAATCAGTCTGTTTATCTAACTATCTATCTATCTATCTATCTATCTATCTATCTATCTATCTATCTAAGTCTATCTATCTATCAGTCTATTTATCTATTCAACTATATATCTATCGATCTATCTATCTTTCTTTCTATCAGTCTAACTTTCTATCTATCTATCTATCTATCAATCTATCTATCTATCTATCTATCTATCTAAAACAAACTATCTATCTATCTATCTATCTATCTATCTATCTATCTATCTGTCTATCTATCAATGTATGCCCTTCCGATTCTTTATTTACTCCTTTTCGTAGTGATTATTTGATTTTTATTGAACTCATTGGCGTATAATATTCGAATTCAATGTGCATTATCAAGTATCAATGCAGATTTCCGTGAAAAGCTGTATAAGAGCATGTGATATGCATAGTCATTATTAAATCTGAGACATACAGATCTTCTGGTTTGCTTTA